GTTTTCTTCCTCAGTAGGGAAATTGGTGTAGCTGAAATGCTGTGCACACTTCATGGAACTGGTTCAATAAGCTGTTCTGTCAGATGCTGCACAGAGTAGTCCAGTTGTTAGTCATTTTTTGCACAGAGGAAAAGCTCCAGGTATAGTAAATCATTCTTGGCCTCTGCAAATATACAAGCACATATATTATAAACTGTTTTAAGGTTCCTCGACTGTTTCCACGTATTGCAGCTTAGATATGATCTTCCACATTTCACCCACTAAGTAAACTTTAAAAAGCCTGACCGTCTTTTGTCCCATGAAATCTGATCTACCTATCACCATCAAGGGACATCTGGGATTCATCTTATCTTTTTCACTGGTTTGTTGATTAATAGAAATTGTTTTGAATGGGATTCAGACATGGCAAAATTCCAGGGACCTTATGAGTTACAATAAGGTCAAATAGGAGGTCAAGTTAAAAAAAAAAAAATTGGATGTGAAGAAGGGAATGAAACCGTAATAATATGGCCAGCTTTAGGTGCCTTAGAGGTGAAGATGAAACTCCTGTGTTTATTTTAAAATAGTTTTCATACATCAAAGGGGTTTCTGATCATCTTTAAAATGATATATATTTTCATTGCAGTGGAGGAAATCTTGACCTTATAGGATGAACGGAGATTATAGGTATCCAGCACACTCTCAGTGTTTCAGGAATATCTCACGAGCCTTCACAAGTTAAAGGTCATGAAACAGCCATCTAGGACTCACAGAGTTAGAAGAGGAACAGTTGTTTCCTATTCACTGGAAATTTTCTTCCCTAAAAAGTCTTAATGAATAGGAAGCTTGAAGATAAATGGGCTTAGACGAGACTTTCAAGTTTATTAGTTCTTTCTGATTCCTCAAGGAGTGCAATGGCAGTGGTTCCTCATGTCTGCAGGAGCCCACAGATAATTTCCAAAAGAAAACAAGAACCAGTAAGACTTGAATATAGCACCACAGCTGGAGTAACCTGAAGCAGGACTGCAGTGCTTTTGCGGCCAGATACCAGTGCTGCTGCATGCTCCAAGCCAAACATAGGCCATGCGGATGTGGTTAGCAAAATACCTTGCAGAACTACATAACCCATGCAAAGATATGCTACTTTGGGTTCACTGCTACGCTGACTTGGCCCGTGACTTCTGGCTCTCTCAAAGTGTGGGCACACACCCTTGTCTATCAATCTGCTGTGCAGGTAAACAAAGATCTATTGTCAGAGATCTTCCAGGATCACAGCCTTCAATGGAGTAAAATGTTAACTTCAGTGAAGCAGTGCTAGCTGGCAGCTGCAGAGGATCCCCTTCCACCAAGCCCCCATGCACATACTGAAGGCAGGCCGATTATTTTAAGAGAGGAAAAGGCTTTGTGGAGTCAAAGTCTATAGTTTCTCCTGTCCAGGAGCCAGCACTGCAGAAATGAGGCACAAGAAGGTTCAAACCAGCAAACCTTCTTATCTAAAGGTGTGCAAAGTGTTCAGAAGAAAATAGCAATTTACTGCTTGAACAAATATTCAACTAAACGCTGATTTTGCTTTATCTGTTATTTGAACAACAAGAATACTCATTTATAGGCTGTGAGCTTACACCTGTCTTTCATTATATGATTGCACAAAGGTCAGCACAAAGAGGCTGTGATCCTCACTGACATGTAATACAAACGATAAATAGTAAATTTTAAAAGCAAAAATCCCCATGGACAGGAGATTAATAAGCCGTGCCAATTCTGTACAGTTCCCACTTTTTCAGTCTTAGTCACCTGTGATGATGGGTAATATTCAGACCATGACTTTTTTGACATTGCCTGTTTTGGTATAAAAAAACAGTGCACAGGTTAAGCAGGTGTTATGTATGTTGGTGCAAGTACATGTGCTTTCCTAACTGGCAGGAAAGTTTCCCCCTGAGTCAAAGGGATCCTCAAGGCCTTCAGGTAGATTTGGATTCAAGATTTCAGTAGGAGAAAAGTGTGGGCCAGACTGTGACCCTTTTTCGTATCTGTGTGCCAAGATAAGTATGCATGCCTGCATTTCTGACTGCTTGAATGTGTTCTTTGAATGGCTTCAAGTTTCACATGAAAACTTTTTTAAACAGAAGCTTTACTATTTAAATCCATTGTTTTATTTTGATCATGATATCAAAGACTTGAAGTATTTAACATCAGTCCTGGTCACCTGCCGTGTCCTGAAAGCTTGTTATGTTGACTGTACATTTTTTCTTTCTTTGATTTAAAAATAAATTCCAACACAACAAACATAGTATTGAATCCTGTACAAAGCAGGATTATGAACTCTGTATGTCGTGTGCTTTATTGGGCCTTTCTGTCTTTGTAAAAATAAAGCTATTGCAAGCCAGAAAGTTTCAAAGGTAGAGCCAAGCTTGAACCAAGCAAGAGAGTTGGCTTGGATCTCTGCAGCAAGCCTAAGCCAAGCCAATATAGACCTGATTGTATTCATTTATGGACAGAAAAATTCAGAGAAGGATATGCACCAGAAGATTTTGTGGCAGGAAATAAGGCCACAGTGTTCCTCTTTGCTTGTCTCTTCTGTACTTGAAAATAGAGCTAAACCAGATCTTCGGTCAAGCTGTAACTGTCTTGTTCATCCTCTGTTTAAAAGCAGAACATAAAGACCACTTTTTCTCTAATTACACAGCTACAGAGGAATAATGAATTTCCCACATATTTTTCTGGTCTCTGCATTCTGTGCTGCAGTCCAAACTTTGTCCCTTATGAACAGTTTGCCCAGATTACAAAAAGGGCATAATTGCCTCTAAGTTTTTCTGGAGATTTTAAAATCAAACTGAAATACTTTCAACATCTTACTTTTTGTTTTTCCTTTAATTTTCCATAACATGGGAATAGGAAAACTGTCTGCTGTCTGAGTCCTCCAGCAGTAAAATTCCAGCTACAAGCTCGGACTTTCAATTTCCACTTTCAAAAAGAATGAATGAGCTCTGGATTATTGCTCTTTAGTACATATTTTTTATAGAGAAAGATTTAGCTCAAATCCTTTTTTTTTTTTTTCTCTTACACTTTAATCCATTTAACCTTTTCTAGCAGGAACACTATTCCCTGGTACTTAGGCAGCAAAAACTTTTAGCTGGAGCTTGACCCATTACTTGTGGGCTGCAACACAAACACAAATCAAATCAACTGAAAATTTGCTATCATGGTACAAAGCAAATTAGCTGAAGATCTGTAGTTTAAGGTCATGACTTGTATGTGTGTATGGTTCATGATGAGAAATGTTAGGAGTGGTGAGATTCAGCATCGTCCAACAGTCCAACAAGATGGGCCATAGACACATTGCCACTGCACAGTGAATGAGAGGCCAGGTTGGTTATCCCTTGCTTGAGCCAAGGGTACCCAAATGACAAATTTACAGCTTAGATTCTGCCAGCTTGCTTCAGGGAAAAGTTTGAAAGCTTGATTTTTAATGCAGGTTTTATTTTAGGCTCTAGTACTAAATGCTGCTCCTTTAAAGTCATAAAGTGACATGAAGCCTCCATGCAATTCGTATTGAAAGCTGTAGTAATCTGCCCTATTCAATAGAAGCAGAAGAGCATTAGTGATGAAGGTGTAGAAAAAGGTCTGAGATACAGAGGTGATTATTTAAACCCTAGAATGTACATTTTGCCTCAATAGCAGCAAGACTTTACTAGCTGGGAGGATAAGAAGTCTGTGAGTAAGGTTGTCCTTAATTATACTTGAATTTCTCTATGATTAAGTAGTTTGAGGACAAACAGAGAATCTTATAAGAATATTGTCTGGTTATGTTGTTCTGTATACATTAAAATCCTTCTCTAGCAAGTCTACATGTATGATTCTGTATAAAGATGTTACAGTCCTCAAGCAAAATGCATAACAGGTATTCATTTCACCTAGTATTTCTAGGTGTCATCGGGAAGTAGATTTCCTTACAGCGGCAAGGTGGAGGACTATGGGACCTTAGTAAACTGAGGCAGCCATATTGCAAACATTTGCTTTTTTATCACAGTTCTCATTATATTTAATGTTTTTACTAAAGCTTAGCTTCTGTGTTCCAGTAATTATGTAAGAAATTCAGGTTACTTCAAAAAAAATGGAATTAATCTCTAGTCTTTGTGGTTGCTTGCACAGGAAAACTTGAAATATCATTCTTCAAGGATCAAAAACTGGAAAGGAAATAAAAGGAACCTGTTTATTTTGCTTGAAGTCTCATGATTTTCAAGCTCTTGTGCTCTCTCAAGAATTTCACTCATGGTTTTTAGTGCTAAATGATGGCAGGAAAGTGTATGTGGATAGGAAAAACCTCACACTCATCAACAAGAGACTTTAAGTAGTGTAAGTGGTCTTTGTTTTTTACATCAGGTGAATAAGGTTCAGAGTAGGGTTTATATGTCTTCTGAAGGATTAGCAACAGAGTTTTTTAAAGGTCTTCCCATTAACATAATAGTAGGTCACTAGTTATGTGAGTTTTGAAATCTTAAATTAAAAAATGCAAGTATGCATCACCTTTTTCCGATTCTTGTTGCTCTACTAACTGATTTAGGTCACTAAGGCAAAAAAAGAAAAAACTAGTGAGAAGAGCTTAAATAAACAAACAATTAAATCATGCAATTCTTTTTTCTTTTTCTTCAAACAAAGAGGAAGGTTTGGCTGGAAGAGAGTGTCTGTGCACACACACTTCTGCACATATGTGCACAAGTGGAAAGAGGCTCAGCAAGAGCATTTTGGAGCTATGGTTAAGACACGTACAGTGTGTTTCTTATGTTCCAGGCATATTTACACATGATCTTGATGTTCTTTCAATACTTTTGGGGAAAGAAGAAAGAAAGGTATAATTATGCAGTTGAATTCTGTGAAGCTGCAGCTATTTCAACCAGTCTTCTTTGTCTAAACAGAAAATCTCTCTACATCTGGCAGCTGTGGAGTGCAGCCGGCTGCATGATGCTGTGACTGGCTGTCCTGAATAGACCTGCTGACCTTTTCCTCTTTCTTTTCTGCAGGATTGCCCGCCAGAAGCAGGTGATTTTCGTGCCCAGCAGTGCTCTGCTCACAATGACGTCAAGTACCAGGGACAGTTTTATGAGTGGCTTCCCGTCTCTAATGACCCTGACAACCCATGCTCGCTGAAGTGCCAGGCCAGAGGAGCAGCTCTGGTTGTGGAGCTGGCTCCAAAGGTTCTGGATGGGACCCGGTGCTACACTGAATCCCTGGACATGTGCATCAGCGGCTTGTGCCAAGTAAGGACAGAAGCCCTACCCTACCACCTTTCCCCGTGGCTCCCCCTCTCAGGTCTCTCTCACATGCTCACTCTTCTCCTCCATACTTGCATCATTTTAGGATATTCATTTTAATCTGTTTTCATTCTTTCAAGCTGACTTCTTCTGCCTTGTTTGGAGAGGTGTACAAATTCAAAGGTTTGTGCTGTTTCCTTGGGGTTTTTTGGAGGAATGTATTCTCAGTTTTTTAACAGTTTAGCATAGTTAGCCGCAGTAGCAGATCTCCTTTGAGAGCACCATAAGAAAATAATGGCTTAGCTTTAAGTTTGGATATACCAAAGTTTTCCAAGGCTATGAAATCCCATTGTCTTTGAGGATTATTGCTCCCCAAAGTCACAATCATATAGCAGTACATGAGGTACTAAACTGGAAAATCTACCATTGATTTGCTACAGGGCTAAGCAAGCTGCTACGTCTCCTTAGGTCTCAGCTTCCATGTTTAAGTGAGATATGGAAACTTTTTAACCCTTCACTTCACAGTGCATGGAGATCTTTTAATCATTCAACCAATTTATTGGCATCCTAATGTGGTTTTATAGTACCTTTGTGCTTTTACTTGTATATTGCTACTCTTTTGAACCCATGTACATTAGACTTTTGTCTCCTGAACTACATGTAGGCTACATGTTCATGGAGAGGAGGACATTTGTGCCATCTGTGTTAAGTACTGAACACACCCGAATCTCAGAAAAAGTTAACTCTAGATTCATGTTTCAGTGCCCAGTCTCCTTCAAATCTATGTAAACTTGATGTGTTGTTGACCTTCCAGTGTATTTTCAGCTACTTTATGTATCTTTGGAAGCTTTTCTCCCTGCTCCCTTTCTCTTTGATTTTCTGTTCTGAGCCAGGAGCAGTCCTGCAGTATATGAAACAGAGTAGGCAGTTATTGTGCTAATCTCATTTGTGATCTGAACGAGGCAGTCATCTAGATTTGTTGACCTCAGCCAAGTGCACAAGTTTCTCAAAATTCCAGATTCCTAACCAGACAGACTAATTTCAGTCCTCTTTTGTGTTTCTTAATCTTTGAAAAACTTAACTAGAGGCACAGGAATCTGGTTGGGAAAATGACTCGAAGTATTCTGCCTATAGTGTCCTGGAAATTAGGAACAGTGTGTACAGGCTCTACATCAGGCTGATTTCTGTTTTCGTCCAAATATGAAGCATACGTTTCTGAGAAAACCTTCCCTTAGGAACAAAGCTCATAAGCATCCACTACTAAACCAAAGTAATTTGCACTGTCATGACACTTCTAGCTGCACTGTTACAACTATGAAGACTGATGTTATTTCTTAACTGTCTTTGTGGCTAAGGTAAGTATTTTGAAAATAGACAAGTACACTATTACTAGTGCCCTTGAGGAATTTCAGTTAAACTAACCCCTTCCTTATATACCCTAGAATGGTAGAATAATTTTAAATGCATAAACACAACGACTATATATTTTCCATATTCTTCAATATTCAGTTTCTTCATCAGCATATTCCAAATATTTTTTACAATTACTGCACCATTTTTGAAGATGGCCAAAAAAAATATAAAAATACAAATCCTCATGCTGCATTCCTCACAGTGAATGATTTTATACTTTTGGGTGTGTTAAATTTAAGGCAACTCAGCGTGTTCTTGTCACAGTGCGCCCTTCCTAGCCACTCTTGTCATTATGAGGGTAGACATATAGCATTAGAAAGTTCATAACTAGATTTGCCCTAATTATATGCTTTAGGACAGCAGCTGCTTTACTGTCTATCACAGCAATAGCTCATACTACCTAAGCAGTCCGGAAAGGTAAACAGTATGAAATTTGCCAGAATTAATGGTGAACCTTCTTTGAAAGCAACATTCTTCCATGCCTTCTATAAAGGGTATTTTAAAAGAGCAGAAAACCATAGTATTATGGTAGAACAAAGTGGATCATTCTTGCTCTGTAACATTTGTGTGAACCAGCTTTCTTCTGTAAGCGTAGACAATGCATGTAAATTTCAGATGAGACAATACGTGATCTTAGAAGCTAATGCCATGCATTTTCAGTATTAGCTAAAGGCTACCACTTACCTAAACTGGTTAACACGCTGTAAACATAACAATTACAGGTCTCAGTAGTTTGTGAGAGTTCATAATGATCCTGGGGATTCAACAACATTTTCATGAGATGTTCTCTGGAACTGCATGATTTGGGGGAGTGCAGCTGACAGCTGTAATAACACGAAGGCATGGCTTGTCACAACTGAAAAAAACGCAGTCTCCTGAGGATTGTATTCCATCTAAGTTCCTGAAGATTAAAAAGATTATGTTTGTTAACAGGTTCTTTGCAAGAAGTAATTACATTATCTTGGGGATGAGAAGGTGTGTTTTCTGGATTGCTCACAGCAAAACTACCAAAAACAACTTTAAGTTTGTCATCTTAGTGGGCTTGCACTGATCCAACTACGATTAGTCTGGGTCTTTATTACAGAGAAGTGTATGGACTTTCATAATATGTTCTGACTACACCCTTAGGTATGATTTTTTTTTACTCTGTAGTTGGCAACCAAGAAAGAATTGAATGTCATTCAGCTAGAACACTTTATAAAACATATAAACATGCCTATTCAATTACAGTCTGTGCAAGAATCCTGAATTATTTAAAGTGGCGCTAAGATCAGTGTATGCTTACGTAGACATAGTGCATTTTTCCCCATGGATCAAATAATTGTGTCAGCTCTCTGAATTAACCACAGGTATATTTCTTCGTGTGCAAGATTTGGGCCAGTCCATGGCCATTTTTGTGCTCATAAGCTGCTTCTGAGGTTATTAGTGGCAGAAATGAAATTAATTTTATTTCCTTCTGTGTTCTTACTATTCTTTCGCGAATAAAGTGTGCTGGTTTTCATTTTCATTGGTAAATATGCATTTTTTCACAAGGTGCAAGATTTGGAAATTACAAGATCCCTCTTTCATATTTATCCCTTCATTTTCATGTTGTTTGGATGTTTAGTAGCTTAGTGGCATATTTATGAGTCTTTGTTTAATTACTAGTTATTGACCCGAAGGCTTTGTTTTGCATGCTGGCCACCTACCAGTCAAAGTCAGAAGAGACGTCTGATTATATTCAGGACAAGCAAAGCCACCTTAGTGTGTAGGACAATCTGTATTCCTGAATCTTTGAATCATTGAAGAGTGCGCTTAGAGATTCCTAAAAAAGATGTTTAATTTTTTTTTTCTACAGAAGTAGGGTATGGGAGAGGTTATGCAGTTGCTGATTCAGAAATGTTTCATGGTATAGGGCAGTATACGTGACTCTGCCAGTTCAGGAATCATGCAAGCTGTGTGTCTTTTGCCTCTTCCCATACTACATAAATATAAATGTATTTATCTTCTGTGAAGGGATGGGTTTTATCTTACCATTATTCTTTGTGTAAAACACCTAAGAAATTAATGGGAATTAATTTCTGAGCATTGTTTTTTCCTTTTCGGATATATACCTTTAAATCAATAGGTGACAGAGGCTGAGCAACACCATTTTTCGAATGAAAAACTCTTTTTGTAATGCCTGTTATTTCTTCCTAATTGTCTTCTTCCTCCTAAACATTATAAATCCCTCTCCATATGGATATCTGTGTTATTTGAGTCCCTTTCTCTTCCTTGAAAGAAATACAGATTATTTCTCAGATGTACACTTTGTGTCTCATTTTGAGTTTACCTGAGGATATAGTGTGCCATATATGCAACTAGCTTAAACCACCATGTCTATAGAATGCTCTTTAAGAGAAATGGGGCTTTAATGTCCCACATTAGGAAATCTCTGTATGGATAGAATTAATGGGGATCCAGAACACAAAACATTTTAACACTTCCAATTTCTAGTTTAATTTTCCCTGTTTTTAAAATTAATTCCTGTACTTTAAATCCATTACTACCTTTTGGATGGTATAAGCGATTCCTTGGTGTGGCAATTGGAGTTACTGGTCTCACTTTGCCAGAGATCCTTGGTTGCACCTGTGAAACTCAGAAGAAATTTTCTATACTCTATGGAGGCAGCACTTCAGATTCACTAACCACTGCTCACACTGAAGTAAAAACCAGACAGCTTCCTACTTACCTTCACACTCACTGAGGACTAGAGCTTTAAAAATCTTCTATTTCCATTATTAGCAGTAGAAATTCATTGTTTATAGTATTGCATATTGACTATCTTAATGCCACTTTTCTATGTCAGAAAAAATGACAGTTTTTCTATTTCTATTTCTAATTTCTACTTCTATTGCTATTGCTATTGCTATTGTTATTTCTATTTCTTTTTCTATTGCTATTTTTATTTCTATTTCTTAGGGCCACAAAGATGATTAAAGGTCTGCAGCATCTCTCCTATAAGGAGAGGCTGAGGGACTTGGGTCTTTTTAGTCTTGAAAAGAGAAGACTTCAGGGGCAACTAATCAATGCTTACAAATACTTTAAGGGAAGAACTAATCAATGCTTACAAGTACTTTAAGGGAAGGTACCAGGAGGACAGGGCTGTTTTTTTTTCAGTGGTGCCCAGTGACAGGACAAGAGGAAATGGGCACAAACTTGCGTATAAGAAGCTCCACCTAAACATGAGGAGGAACTTCTTTACTGTGAGAGTGGTAGAGCACTGGAACAGGCTGCCCAGAGAGGTGGTAGAGTCTCCTTCTTTGGAAACATTCAAAATCTGTCTGGACAAGTTCCTGTGCAACCTGCTCTAGGTAGACCCACTCTGGCAGGGAGGTTGGAATAGACAATCTCCAGAGGTCCCTTCCAGCCCCATATGATTCTATGATTCTTTTAAAATACCTCATATTATACTTCTATTTGAAATCAAGACTGTCCTTTCTCATCACACTTTACCTCATCACAACAACAAAGGTCAGAATCACTGCACTGAGCCCTGCACTGATTTCTCCACTCTGCTACATACAGATCACACCTAATATTTAATCTTTTCGTAAAGGAGACAACATGGATCT